TTCCCCCACTTTCAATCTCCACCTTCTTTGTTGCTTGAAGAATCTACGGCTCTGAAAGATTCCCGATTCCCATATTTGATGGAAAATGCTTTCGATGCCTTTCTTTGTACAGGGAGACCTTGTCTTGCAAGAAACATTTTAGCCATTAGAATCTAATACAAACTCGCAATCTGAGGGCTGCAAAAAACCAACACCTCATCAAGCGTGGCCTTGGGCTCATCCCCAAACAAAGACTCCTTCCCATCAGCCCTTTTAGCATAAGATAGCCCAAGCCTAGACTTAGCCTGTCTCAGGTCCCCAACACCCGAATTCGTGTCGGGCCCAGCAAAACCCCCCATAACCGGTGCTAGCGGCGGCCCAATGAGCAGCCCGTCCGCCCCGAACTGGGGCCCACCTCTGGCATAGTCAAAGAGGGCCGCACCACTCCCCCCTACTTTGGACAACATAATGGGCTCGTTTTCGCTGTCTCGAGCCCAATAGAACAGAAACGCGTCAAATGTATCATAATAGTCGTCAGTGCTTCGGTAGCCTTCGGGGCTGAAAGCTCCGAATTTGAAGGATTTTTGGGTGTAGCCGATTATCACGCACGGTCCCTTGAAATCGCATTTGTTGTGGAATTCTGTAGCACTGAACCCATCTACAGTAGCCTTATAGCAGCACTTCAGTTCTCTGCCTGATCACACAAATTATTATTATCAACAAGGGAATTCTCAAAAAACAGTGAAAATTTTTCAAATTAATGTCAACAATTTTTTACCGAAATTGAAAAAAAAAAAGACTTGTATATTAGTTCCAAGCCTGTATTATGCCTCTTGCTCATTCAAAATTTTCAGTTGTTAAAACAAACAATTGAGTAATTTGAGAAAATTTGTACCTTTCAAGAATGTTTGGGATAAGACAGAGAGTGGAAATGGGAGGTCTGTGCTGTCGTGATATTTAGGCTCTGGCTGTGTGCTGCTCTTTCTGCCAAAGTCCCAACTAAATAAGCTCTTTGGGCAAAACTTCTTCTTCTTGTAACCATATGAAAATGCACAAGAGTTTGATGAGTTTAAGAGAGATAAGCACTTCATATTCCAATATTCTTTAATTTTCACCAAGTTTTAAGCCAATGTTGTATTGACTGATGATTTCTTGT